CATATGTAAGTCTTTTTAATGACTTGTAGCTTATATGGGTTACTGAAACATTCTAAGTTTTATTTCTGCAAGTAGAGATATGCACATGTTTCTAGGTGCCTGAATATTTATAGGTATGAAGTTGATGGGTTTGAAAGTACAGCAGCTTCTCTTCTCAGCAAAACTGACTGAATATAAAAGTATATTCAAACATAATTAGAGAAATAAAGCTACCACAAAATACAAAGAAGTATAAGAATAAATTTTTGTAATATTTAGAATAAAGGAGATAATTATACTTTTAAATTTTATTGTCAATAGATCAATGATTGAGTGCTCTACGCCAAAGGAATTTTCCTATTTTTTATATCTCAGCAGCAAGTTTTCAAGTTCTAACTCCTGATATTTCTTCAGAGAGGTTTGAATACTTCTAAAAATCAAGCCCTTGTAAACATGCCTTACATTAGTGCTTCCCAAGAGAAGTTAGATGCATTATCTTTTCCATAGTGATACTGTCTCGGAAACCCAAGGAGGGGTCGTTATGAGTCGGGGCCGACTCGACGGCAAACAACAACAACAACATCTTAAAATCTGTGATGTTTCTCTCCCAATAGGAGCACCTGGAAACTGACTTGACCTGGACCCCAAGAAATATCTTCATGCAGCTTATAAACAGTACCTGGTTTCAGCCACCCACTCTCCTTCTAACAGGCATCCCTGGTCTGGAGACTGTACAAATATGGATCTCTATCCCACTAGGTGCCATGTACCTAATTGCCCTCCTAGGCAACTGCACCATCCTCTGTGTTATCAAAACCACTCCCAGCCTTCATGAACCTCAATATATCTTCCTGTCTATGCTGGCAGCCACAGATGTGGGTCTTTCTTTATCAACTCTACCCACCGTATTTAATGTCTTCTTTCTGAATCACAGAGAAATTGAGTTCCACTTTTGCCTTATACAGATGTTCTTCATCCATACTTTCTCCTCCATGGAATCAGCCATCCTGTTGGCCATGGCCTTTGACCGCTTTGTAGCTATTCACAACCCACTGCACTATACTGTGGTTTTAATCCCTTCTAGGATTATTTGGATGGGACTTGTGGCTATGGCTCGGGGTGTGGCATTGATGTCCCCATTGCCAATCCTACTCAAGAAATTGCCCTTCTGCAAGGGCATCATTCTATCCCATTGTTACTGCTACCACCCTGATGTAATGAAGTTGGCATGTGGCCCTGTCAGAGTCAATATAATCTATGGGTTGTGCCTTGTCCTCTGCTCCTTTGGAGTTGACTCTATGTTCATTATAATTTCATACACACTGATTTTGAAAACAGTGCTGAGTATTGCCTCAAAAGACGGTCAGCTCAAGGCACTTAATACTTGTGTTTCCCACATCTTTACTGTCTTCATCTTTTATATACCACTTATTGTGCTGGCCTTAATTCATAGGTTTGGTACATTCCCATCTCCTCTTCTCCATGTAACCATGGCAAACCTCTTCCTCTTCTTGACCCCTGTCCTTAATCCCTTGGTATACAGCCTAAAAACCAAACAGATCAGGTCAACCTTGCATAAGGTATTCAAGGGCAGGAGAAATGTACTAAAGTAATAAAATGTGACCTTAGTGAAAAAGATACCTCAATCATTCTCTTTTATTAGAAACAGAAACAATATAAGACATATAAAGTAATAAATTGTCAGAAGTACATCTTCTTATACAGTAATGACATTAAGTGTAAATTGATTAAAGATTTAAAACAAAAGGCAGAAATTGACAGAACATCTTTATGAAATGACTAATATAATGCT